AGCAGTCATGAATTTTGTCAGTGTCTTTTGTATTTTTGCGGGATCAAAACATATTGCTATTTTGTAGGTTACGTAGGGCTGACTGGACAAAAAAAAAGAATCAATGCCTCAAGGGTGTATTTTTGAATCTTGGTCATAGATATGCTCATGCTGTTTGTAGTTTGTACGGATTACTTAAATGTTATATATGGTTTGTGGCACTTATTATAGCTTGCGCAACCATGATTTGATAGCTGNAATGCCTCAAGGGTGTATTTTTGAATCTTGGTCATAGATATGCTCATGCTGTTTGTAGTTTGTACGGATTACTTAAACGTTATATATGGTTTGTGGCACTTATTATAGCTTGCGCAACCATGATTTGATAGCTGCATCTCTTGTCACTTTCATCATAGTTTTAATGTGTCGTTCTGAACTTCATATGCAGGCGTCTTTCTGAGTTAGCCTTGTTGTATTGTCAGAAGATAGGAAATTTTGCGCTTTCTGAAGTTGGCAAAGGCTGCAAGTACTTGCAAGCTCTTCAATTGGTAGATTGTTCTAGTATTGGAGATGATGCCATATGCAGCATAGCTAGAGGCTGCAGGAATTTGAAAAAGCTTCACATTCGTCGATGTTATGAGGTATTGCTTTTCTTATGAATCTGTGGCTGCTTACAGCAGTGTGTCTAGAACTGAGATTTGAATGTTATGTAAATTGCACTTGCATTCTATTGGTAAAAATTTGAACCGTGGTAGTATCTGATGTGCAAATGTTGTTCCCTGCTGGAAAAAGCTTGGATATGAGTGTTTCTGTTTTTCTGTTCAATATAATGACTTGAATACTGCATCTACATCTCTCTCTCTCTCTTTTTGGTGGAGTGGGTGGTGTTTGGATATAAGTGAACCTAGAAATAGTGTAGAGAAGAAATATCTTTCATGTGAATAATTTTTTCATGACATTAATTGCTCATGGAAAGACAATGAGTGATGTTCTCCTGATATAAACTAAATTGTTGCCTCCTGCTGTTTGGTCCCAGCTGGACTTTTTCTGCTTTCTCTGGTGAGACAATATCTTTTAAGTTAGACCTCCCCGTTTAGTATGTATAATGTTCTATATTAGCTCCTCATCTTAGTGAAGGAACTATTCTATTTTAAGAAACTATTCAAATGTTTGTGGTCTCTTTTTAATCTCTTATATAATTAATCCTACATTACACTTTTTCCCTCTAAGTTTGTAATGATTTGATAACTAATTGTACGTTTTTCTTTGTGCGGGCAATAGGTTGGGAATAAGGGAATCATAGCTGTTGGTGAGAACTGTAAATTCCTTACAGATCTTAGCCTTCGATTTTGCGATAGGTAGGAACTTATTTCACTGGTGCTTCTTTTTAACTGCATACTACTTTCAAATTTTTCTGATCAAGTTGCTTGTGCTAGCATAAATCATTGCAATATGACTAGTAGCAGGAAAAAATAACCTATATCTGTATGTTCATGCGAGGGAGAAGCTGAGGGTGGTGACATCATTACAATTACTTTAGAATGTGGTGAATTGTGTATGGTTGTTTTACGTTAGTGGTCCTGTCAAAGGCTGATTCTATGCTGGCAAAGGTTGAGCCTGAGCTTGGATCTAATTTGCGTCTGTCTGCTGACCTTGCACTCGTAACACCACTTTGGGTTTATAATGCAGAAGTTAGACTATATGATTTTCCTAAAATCCTCCTTCTCATTTGTTTTTTAGATGGAAAATTATTACTCAAAAGTAAGGCATTCCTTGCTTTAACTAAATTTACACTGCAGTCCCTTCTAGTTCCTTTGTTTGTTACTTTTAGTGACACGAGGTAACAATATCGTTGAATATTCCTCTCATAATCTCCATTTGGCCCCTCATGCCCAAACAGAGTTTGTCTTTTCCACCTCTCTCAACCTGAACCCTAACCACCACCAACAAAACCAACACTCAAACTACTATAAGAAAATAATACTAAAACCCAAACTATATGACATCAAGCTGTGATTAATGTGATCTTTCTGTTTTCCGCCAAAAGCAGCAAGATGTACCATTTTTACCACAGCAAAGCATGTGACAACTTAATAGCACCACAAGCCAACCATAATGATGGTGACCGACTTGTTTCAACCTGGTAGCACCTTTAAGCCTCTACAAATGACTGGCACGGCGGCACCCCTGTTGTTCTCCCTTATCTAAAGTACTGCAAAACTGACCTTACAAGACACTTTTCCACCATCTTCACGGTACCAAATCCGTCCATAAGCAACACCAGTTCTATCCTCCATGCTGAAGTATCACTACCATAACCCCAACATGGCATTGTGTCGCCAAGCTAGGCTTTGACAAACAAGCAACCTTTCAGTTAGCACCTGACCGGTGCACGTGATCTTGAATTCCCATGGTTTCTATCACCTTGTTTGTTTTTTAAGGTATCTTTATTGCTTGATTTGATTAAAAGTGATTTGATGTTGGTTATGTGAGAGAGATTGAAATAAAGATTACATAGATGAACAATTGAATTCAAAATAATTTGAGCATCAAGGTGGCGGTAGTGGAAGTTTTGGAGGCATGATTCGTCTTTTGCTTGATGGGCAATGACTCCCTCAATTTGAAATATATATGCTGTCTAATTACCAGGGTAGGGGATGAGGCACTGGTTGCTATTGGTCAGGGTTGCTCCCTACACCGTCTAAACGTTAGTGGCTGCCACCAAATTGGGGATGCCGGAATGATAGCCATTGCAAGAGGGTCTCCTCGACTCAAATTCCTGGATGTGAGCGTTCTTCAGGTGTGTCTTCTCTCTCTCTCTCTCTCTCTCTCTCTCTCTCTCTCTCTGTGTACATACAGTTGCTAATAAATCTAATCAGGTTTAGGACTATATCTGCAACCTGTAATGGATATATNTGTGTGTGTGTGTACATACAGTTGCTAATAAATCTAATCAGGTTTAGGACTATATCTGCAACCTNTCTCTCTCTCTCTCTCTCTCTGTGTACATACAGTTGCTAATAAATCTAATCAGGTTTAGGACTATATCTGCAACCTGTAATGGATATATCAATGTCATAACCATTTCGTCTTCCGTTCATTTGACAGTATTTAGGGGATATAGCAATGGCTGCATTAGGTGAAGGCTGTCCCTTACTGAGGGATGTAGTCTTATCACACTGTCGTCGAATATCAGATGTTGGTCTGGCCAATATTGCTAAAAAATGTGCCTTGCTGGAAACTTGCCACATGGTTTATTGCCCGAATATCACTTCAGCCGGAGTTGCCACTGTGATTACAAGCTGTGCCAACATAAAGAAGGTTCTGGTCGAGAAGTGGAAGGTCAGCCAGAGAACTAAAAGGAGGGCAGGCTCCGTCATCTCCTACCTCTGTGTCGACCTTTAGAGACCACCACCCCACCCTCATTTCTTAGAAAACTCCTTTAGATCGTTCCAGTTCAATGCACCAAATGCAGACTCAGTTTAAAGCCTCTTCAGTGGACAATTTGAAGGAAAATATGACATGATTTACATGAGCAACACCATAACCCCGACACGCAGGTTCTCAGTTTGCCTTTAATGTACATGTTTGTTGGTGCTAAAAGTTTATAGTTGTTGGAGAGTATTTTGTTTCAGTTTGTATGAATAAGTTATGGGATCATTAAGTCCATTTCGTTCCGAAAAAGATGTATTTTATTTCTAGGATGATTATGTATAATTTGTTGTTGCAAGCAAAGGTATAATTTTTTTTTTTTTTNGAGTATTTTGTTTCAGTTTGTATGAATAAGTTATGGGATCATTAAGTCCATTTCGTTCCGAAAAAGAATATTTATTTCTAGGATGATTATGTATAATTTGTTGTTGCAAGCAAAGGTATAATTTTTTTTTTTTTTGTTGCACAAAAAAGTTGCTTTGATTTGTAGCAAACTAGCCAAAATTGGCTAGACNATGTATTTTATTTCTAGGATGATTATGTATAATTTGTTGTTGCAAGCAAAGGTATAATTTTTTTTTTTTTTGTTGCACAAAAAAGTTGCTTTGATTTGTAGCAAACTAGCCAAAATTGGCTAGACTAGATATAACTTTCTATACTTTATTACAGAGCACTTACCGTCGATGCATTTTGTCGTCTCTCTCAACAGCAGAATAGTTTTTCATTGTGAGGTGATAAAGTCATAGTGACAGAGAGAGCCACTAGTACACACAGGGTGATAGTGCTCGATTTTGCTATCAATAGATGTACCTATTAGGCTGGTTTTTGTTCCGAGTGTCACCGTCCACCGAGTGAGAAACCCAATAATGAAATTAGGGTTTTTTTTTTTTTTTGGGTTTGGAGGGGGACGATGATTTACGATTATTTCTTCGAGTTTTGAGACTGATTATTGTAGATCGAGTTAGTTTAAGGACATATTTCCTAAGAAACAAAAATGACTAACTTTTAAGAGGAGTGAAAAATATCGAATTTGAAACTTCTTACTTGTGAAATGACTTACTTGTTTACCGGATCACCTAAAGATTTCCAAGCAGCTATTCTTCACACTCCCTGTGAAGATACAAATTGGGGATACATGCAATCTATCCAGTTTTTTTGGTTTTAAGACCCAAAAAATAAAGAATAATGCTACACTTACCCAAAAACAGGATTAAAATTATAGTCCAAATATCGTGGCGGTAGACATTTGAAGTTAAGTTTTGAGTTTTAAATGAATAGAATTGGAACTAAATACATTAGTATTATTATTATTATTATTATGATTATGGAGAATTACACTAAGATCTTTTGAAATTTGTTACTTAATCACACAGACTTCCTGACATTTAAAATATTGCACACAAACTCCTTGAAGTTTGTACGCAGGTAACACTTAAAACTCTTTTCGTCAAATGCTCGTTAGTATAACAGTTAGTAAATAACACTTAGACCCCCCTAAAGTTTATAACGTATAATACTTAGACATCTCAAGTTTAGATAAAAAATATTCCAATCAAAAATAGAATGTCAAATATTTTAAAGTTTACAACAAAAACTCGTGTTCTATTATGATATTTATTGAAATAAAATTAAAATTAAAAATCTAATTTTTCTTAAAAAATCACAATTAATAAATAATTGTACTATCATTGGAATTTAATTTGGTCGCTTAAACAGCCAAATTACTCCAATTAAAACTATAATATATTATATCCGTTATAGTTGATCCCTTATTTAATTTTTTAGTTTTACTCTAATAGATAGTATAATTGTATACTAATTATGATTTTTTTTAAAATTTTATTTTTTTTATTTTATTTCAATAAATGATATAAAAGAACATGAATTTTGATTGTAAAATTCATATTCTATTATGAATGACTTAGACCTTTTTTTTTTTAGTTTATTACAATAGATAATATAATTGTATTCTAATTATGATTTTTTACAAAAATTTTACTTTTATTTTTAATTTATTTCAATAAATGATATAATAGATCATGAATTTTGATTTTTAAAATTTTAAATATTACATATTCTATATTTGATTAGAGTATTTTTTGTCTAAGAATAATATTTTAAACTTTAGAGGTCTAAGTATTATACGCCTACAAACTTTTGAGAGTCTGAATATAATTTACTAATGAATATAATAACGGACATTTAACCACAGAAGTTTAAGTGTTATGTGTGTACAAACTTTAGAAAGTCTGTATGTAATATTTTAAATGTTAAGAGATCTAAGTACTTAAATGACAAATCTCAAAAGATATAGATGTAATTCTTCCTTATTATTATTATCATTATTATTACAACGTCATATCATTTAGTCCATATTATTTATTTATTTGATTAGTTTAGCGTTACTCCAAAAAAAAAAAAACGGAAGACCAGAGAAAGGATTGACATGAAACGACGCCGTATTGATTATTGAAACGCGTTACTACCAGAAGCAACATGAAAGAACAGTTGAGTTGTGAGTTGTGAGGCCGCTGGCTCCGGTCTTTCCTATTTCGTCTTCAGCATGCCTAATGGTTGCAGCATCAGAGCTCTCTGGATCCTCAACAATCAAGACTTCGTCGTCTTCTCCAGGTACACACACACATACACACACCAAATGTGCTACTTAGCCAAGACTCTAGGGTTTTAGATTTATGTTCACCTTTCACATCTGAAATAGATCTGTTTCTCGATCATTTAGATCTTTGTTGATATGTAATAATAGGTATACATGTTGAATTTGATTCTGATTTGTTAATTAAATTGATCAGGAGGTTTCCAGTAGTAGAGAGGCGGTGGCGAGCGGTTTGTAAGAGCGAAAACGAGACTTCTACCGATCAGAATCTGAAAAACACTGTATCGCCGTTTGTTCCTACCGATTCAGAGCTAGCTGTTGCATTTCAGGACCGCAAGAGGAGGTAAATTTCAGCATAACTATATGGATTACAGTCCTTGATTTGACTTCTAAGCTCAATCTTACTAACTTGATAGGTCACTCAATTTTGAAGTACTGCATGTACGGAGGTCATATATGCGGATTTTTTTTTTTTTCTGACATTGCAACATTTAGGTAGTGAAACTTGATTTTGAAATGAAGGTGGAAGTTGCTTTGTTGAATAGTAAGCACTAATGTTTATCTTAGAGTAATTTATTGGTCAGGGCATAATGATAAAATCAACTGAAGCACTTACTATTTTAAGACTTCGTTGATCTTGGAATGGATTATTTTTTGCATCATTTTTTAAGTTTTTCTAGATTATTCAGTTTAGTATCCTCATTTTAAAGTAAGGTGATGTTTCCGATTGTATACTTGTATCTGTACGAGTCCTTTGTTATCAGTGAGGTCAATAGGTTAATTAAGTTGATGGTTGACAAGTACAAAGTATTGCACATCATTTTGCTAGAGCTTGTCTTCTGCCTGGTGATGTAAGCATCTGCGAATACATTCCTGTTATGTTGTCTATTTTATCATAAGGAAGAAAAAGGGGAAGAATTGGGCTTCTGCTTCACAACTTGACTTAACCATTGCCATTGTCATATGCAGGGAGGGATCTGCTTGTGGATTTGGCATACGTGTAAGTCAATCAACTGAAGGATTGGATTCATGGGTTGATGATCCAATTATGCGTCATATCATAAGCCTTTATATAAATAAAGAAGAGGAAGGAGAAAATCATCTCTTATGGCCACTGATTTTGCATGCAAAAGGCCATTATTTCATCCTTGTATTGCCTTTGGTAGAACCCCATCATTTAAAAACATATGCAAGGATTTGTAAAAGATCAGATTGCGGAAATGCTGTTGGAGTGGATGAGAGTTTATCTTCCGTCCTGATCGATCTTCCGTCCATCACAGGGTAAGGTAAGTTACATGTCCTTGTTGTTTGTGAAAAATACAATATGGAATAATGTTGCTTGCCATGTTGTCAATTTTCCATTCTTATATGTGATGCATCTGACATGTTTCCTGACCTTGGACCTCCACGAAAATGTGCTCCAATTTGAGATTGATTTTAGGTTCATATAAAAATATACGCATAATGCATCTGTGGATTTGTTACACTGTTATCTTTCCCTCATTCTATTTCTTTGTCCTTGACTCACTTGTACGTTGTGAGGGTTTGTTGCCTAATGCAGTGGTAAAATGCTCGTAAATTTGAATTTGAAGGCCACCACTTTGAGTATATCGTGCTAAATTACTAGTTAGGTTTGTAGTGTACTCATTCCATCCCACTCAATGCCCATTAAAGTGGATAATTAGCATATGTACATTGTGGTTTATTCTGGAATAGTTCACAGATTCTCATTTATTTTGGAATA